ACCTATTTTATATGCTTAAAATACAAATAAAACATTAGACCGTCACAGAAATTTTATATAACTTCGTAGTGGGTGGTTGGCGCGTGTTCTGGTAGGTGTGGTGTGATTAACCCCCTCCTCCAAATCTCTCTTATCAAACATCTGCTGCTCTATTGAGCATCATCTCCCCTCTCCTTCCTCTTTCCTTTCTGTAACTTTCTAGGCACGCCCTTTATCCAACGATAGTGAATAACCTACGTGGTGTCGATCTAGTATGTTATTTGCTTTATCTTCTTCACTTATGTGACTTATTTGTGTTGCAAGTGCCGTAAAACTTTCACCCAAACTAAATTCCTGGAACACTTAACATACAGAGTACACCTTTTCCCACACAAGCACTAAAGTCCTCAGTTGTAGATTATCGAGATCACATGTTTCCACTGACAGATTTTACTAAAATCCTCAGTGGTAGATTATCGAGAGCACGTGTTTCCACAGACAGGCCTATTATGCAAGGCATGTAATCTAGGTCAAGTTCACGCAGTGTAACTTCGTCAAGACCGCTGCGAACGAAGAAGAGATTCATCACGTAATTTCTGAACTAGTGCTGAAGTACATAACGTTAACACTGTAAATAGGTCCACATATCATTGTTGAAAGATAGGGACATAAACTGCGTAAACAGAAAGATTGTGATTTCTCAAAGGGATCTTGAAGTAAACATAAAAAAATGCTACCAAGGCCTATATATTATGTTACCCAGGTTTTCTTTCCAACCTATCAGTATCACCCCTATTCTATGAATGAACTATTCCGGGCCAATATGCCGGCGTCTTGGCACTTGGCAGGGGTGAACAAGGTGGTCTCGAGAATACTAGAGGTGGGCAAAATCCGGATAATCTATCCGAGTAGCCGGATAATTATCAATGAAACATAGTCCGAATTCAGACTCTTAACTCTCTTTCCTGACCCGCTTGCCGAAGTGTGTACACTCATTAATTGTGGAAGTGATGCTAACCCGTTTGTCGAAGTGGTTCTAACCCATTCACCAAAGCGGTTCATATTACATTATTCGCCGAAGAGGTTCACTAACATATTATCCGGATTTTGCTAAAGCGACTCCTTGCCCAGCTCTAGAGAATACGGCGAAACCACAGACGCGCAATTTGAGCTTGACCCGACTAGTGACTAGCACTAGCACTACAAGCAGCTAGAATCTGGCAGTTGGTTGGTTGGTAGGGCTCGGTGAACCTTACCGTTGTGTCTTGTACCGCTGAACAGCTGCTGAATGAACGAAAGAACGGATTGTTGTTCATTCTCAGCACGTGCTGTCTTTCGGATGAACACAGAAACAACGAAACAGTGAACTCAGTGTCTGTGTGTGTGTGTGGGGGTCACTGTGGGTGTGTGTTTTTTACTGCTGTCGCTCGCGTGCCGCGCTTTCAGTCAGTCAGTCAGTCAGTCAGGATTTACGGTGTGTGATAGTAGATCTAGAATTTCTCTTCTCTCATTCTCACGACCACAGTTGATCGTTGTCGTCGCCGGCGGAAAGAAAGAATGGAAGCCCGTCAGAACTGGAGTAAGAAGCTGGAGTTTTTGCTGGCCATCATCGGTTATGCGGTCGGCCTGGGAAATGTCTGGCGATTCCCCTACCTTTGTTTCCGAAGTGGTGGAGGTAAGTGGTTTTTTCCTTTCGATTTATTTGTTTTAGTAGGCTTAAGTAAGTGTTTTACGGCACTTGCAACACAATAAGGTCATATAAGTGCCGAAGATTAGAGGTGTTACAAGAGACAGAGAGTAACAAACACAAAAAAGAAGGAGGGGAGATAAAGACGATGGATGTTTGATAGGAAAGAAGAAGCAAAACACACCAGAGCACCCGCCAACCACCCGCTTTCGATTTATCTACAGTCTATATAGGCCTACAAATTACTACTAGACTATACGTATTACATTATAGCACATTATTAAAGAGACGAACATCACACATGCCGTACAATTACTTGAAGGCCTAGACTCTGATTAATTTGGGCCTCTTTGGAAGGCGCGTTGAAAGAATCCAGTCTTACGAAAGTGAAAGCGGCTGATCGGTAGGGCCTGGCCAAGGGTACGTAGAGCGAACCGGCTTGTTGTGGGCATTTATTGACACTTGTGCCCTTTCTTTCTTCTGTGCTCCGTTTCTCTGGCTCCTTCGTCTGTTCGTCAGGCCCTTCTATGAGAAGATAGAAGAATCCCAGACCACTCGTATACATTATTGCGCGAGACCCACCCCCTCCTCCACCCGCCCCACCCATGTATGACAACATTTTAATGAATAGATCTACCGGTCCGAGATTCTCCACTGAGAGATATTTAAAAACTGGGGAAAAATCATGAATTCCTAAGGTTGAGGCATAGGCAAAGTGAGTCCGCTGGTCCGGTATTCTTCAATCTTACCCCTTACTTAACCCTATCCATACGTCATGTTTTACTCGTATCCATACGACGTGGGGAACTCTGCGCCACCACTTTCCAAAGAGGAAATTTACTCGTTAATCCGGTCGTACGCTTTGTATAGTAGTCTGTCAAAATGACTTTTTTTTAGAAATACCGAAAGTTTCAGAGAGATTTTCTTACTTTATAGAAGTATTCTAAAAAGTAAAGAATACAACCCCAGGAGTACAAAATGACCCCAGGGCGTACGGATAGGGTTAAGGATGTGTATGGCGCTTGTGGGATCTGTCGTCCTTACTAAATCTCCCCTCCTTCTTTTTTGTGTATGTTACTCTCTTGTAACACGTAATCTTTCTTATCTTCGGCACTCATATGACCTGATTTTGTTGCAAGTGCCGTAAAATTCTTAATTTTAAAACTTAAACAAGTAGTAGTAGAAGTAGGTCACTGCTGAAATGTTCCGGTCTGTTTTTTGAGTGAAGAAAGGCTTTGGGCGATTTTTTAGTTTGGTTCGTTAAAGTCAAGAGTAGACTATGGATGCCTTGCGGGCTTTGGTGCTGGGGGGAACTGATCACTTATGGACCTGTCCAGTGTGAAATGACGTTGTAGGGGGGTTTGAGGCCCCCATCATCATCATCCGGTGCCTTGCCGACTGGCGTGGGCGATCATGGACCTCCACTTCCATCTGTCTTTCGAAGCAGCAATGGTGTCTGTTGTTCTTGCTGCTCCCA